GACTTACAAAACACTTAGAAAAAATTTGATTCGTTATGTGTGGACAAGACTTTCAAGTGAAATTGACTTTAACTCTAAATACTAATAAATAAATAAAATAGCCTTTTATTCCTCATTTTTTACACTTAGTAAATTTGTAAGAAATTCATTTTTAATAGCTTTAAGTGCATGCATTATTATAAATATTATACTTACATTCCATTTGAAAATTTCATTTACACTCAAAATCAATTTAATTACTTTAAGTACATGCATTACTATAATGTAAGAATTATATTTAATTGGAAATTTCATTACACTGAATAAATTTGTTACAAAAATCAATTTAATAACTTTAAGTACATGAATTATTATAATATTAGAATTTCATTCAATTGGAAATTTCATTTTGCATTTAATTTGCTTTTATTTAGATAATTTAATTTTTATATAAAACAATTTTGACATTTTAGTTTCACAGATTTAGATTATTAGTATTTTCTTTTAAATAATATTTTCTTACAATATAGATCTTATTTTTTTTTAATAATAATAATTTTATATTTATAATTTTAACTTATTATATCTGTTATTTGAGGACCCCTCTTCGGGTAAAGGCCTCTTCCAGAGCTGCCCACACTTGTCTGTCCTGTGCCTTGTTCATCCAGTTTTTCCCAGCTGTAGCCATCACCTCGTCGACCCATCTCTCCTTTGGCCTGCCTTTTGCACGTGTTCCAGCTGGTCATTGCCACTCTGTCGCCGATTTAGTTCATCTTTGGTCTGAAATGCGTGCTAAATGTCCTGCCCATCGCCATTTCAACCTTTGACCGTATTGAAGAACGTCTATTACTTCTGTTTTGTTCCTTAATTCCGAGTTGCTTACTCTGTCTTTCAATTTTATGTTAAGAATTGTCCTTTCCATTCGTCTTTGACATTTTGCGATCTTGTCACTGTTGTGTTTGTTAAATATCCATGTTTGGCATCCATAAGTAAGGCAGGGCAGTATACAATAATCTATTATCTTCTTTTTGAGAGTTATAGGTAGAGTCGATTTTAGAATCTCCTTATGGGTCCAGAATTTACCCCAACTTGATATTATTCTCCTTTGGATTTCGTCAACGTGTCTCGTTCTTTTGAATGATATTAATTTACCGAGATACACATATTCATCAACATATTCTAATGGAATGTTGTTCACAATTATAGGTATTTGAGCTCTATTCGTCATTACTTTGGTTTTAATAGTATTTAGTTGCAGGCCTACATTTTGACTGGCGTTGTTTAGCTCAATAACCATTGACTCTATCTCTTTTGCTGACTCGGAAAATATTACTAGATCATCTGCAAATCTAAGATGGCTGAGGTAATTCCCTTTTATATTTATACCCTTATTTGTCCATTTTAAGCCTTTGATGATATGTTCCAATACTGCTATAAAGATTATTGGTGAAAGTGGATCTCCCTGTTTCACTCCTCTTTTTATTGGGAAGGCTAGTCCGGTTCCGTCTAATTTGACTCTACTAGTGCTCTCATGGTAGATGTATTTTAGGATGTTTATGTATTGTTGGGGAATGTTTTGGTTTTCTAGAGCTTTCCAAATGCTGTTGTGTGAAATAGAGTCGAAAGCTTTAGCATAGTCGATAAACACCAAAAATAGTGGTTTTCTAAATTCATTATATTTTTCTATTACCTGTTCAACAACGTGAATATGATCGATGGTACAGTATCCTTTACGAAAGCTGGCTTGTTCAATAGGTTGATACTTTTCGATAGCTGGACTCAATCTTTCTTCTAGGCAAGAAGCAAAAAGCTTGTAAATGGTTGGTAGTAAACTAATAGGCCTATAATTTCCAACGTCTGTGGGATCTCCTTTCTTGTATAGTAGAATTATATCAGTTGCCAACCAGCTTTTCGGTAGCTTTTGCGTTTCAACGATTTTGTTTAACAGATATGTAAATGGGGTTGCTAATACCTGTTTGGCTGCTTTAATTGCCTCGTTTGAGATATTGTCTGGTCCGGGACTTTTATGGTTTTTAAGTTTTTCAATTTTCTTTATGATTTCAATTTCATTAAATGGGATCACCGTCTCCTCTTGGCTTTGTTCCATTTTCTTATATGATTCTACATCAGTTGATGATGTATCGCTGTACAGTTTTTGATAGAAGGTTGTGGCGATGTTCACGATATCGGTCCTTGATTGAGTTTTTGATGTTGGAGTTTGTTTTAGGTACATAATCCAAGGTTTGCTGGTATTTAATTGTCTGTATGCTCTTTTTGTGCTTCCTGTTGTAATTAAATGTTTGCTTATTACCTGTAACCTGTGTTTTTTGTAGTCTTTCTTAATTTCTTTATGTGCTTTTTTATATAACATTTTTAGCTCCTCTTTATCTTCTCAGGTCAATGGTCTTTTATTTTGTAAATTATGACGCTTTTTATAAGCAGCTTTGTTTCTTCTCTCAACACATCTTTTTGCCGTGTATTAATTTTAATTTTTGATTTTGCCAAACAACTTTTTATGTTGTTCTCTAATTTATTGTAGTAATTATCCAAACTTTCATTTTCTTGGTTGAGTAAATTACATTTTTTCAGATTCTCTACATATATGCCATTTTCTTTTTGTGATGTTAATAAGCTACGTGTATGCAGTATCTTGCCCTGCTAGATTTTATTTTTGCTATTTTTATTGTGCTTCTTACCATCCTGTGGTCACTTGGATAATTGAGGTTATTAATGATTTCTATATTTGTAAAATGTTTGGGGGCATTTGAGAGAATATAATCGATCTCGTTTTTTGCCTTCTTGTCAGGAGATATCCAGGTCCATTTTGTTTTTAAATTTTTCTTAAATATTGTGTTAATTATTGTGAGTTTGTTTTTGTACGCGAATTCGATTAATTGTTGACCTCTACTATTTCTTTTTCCATAACCGAATTTTCCTGTGATTAGTTTCTCTATCTCGTAAGTGAAAAATAAAAATGAAAAATAAAATAAATTTCAATTCAAAAATAGGCTCTATTTTTGAATTGAAATCGCCCATCACAATAACGAATTTATTTGTTAGCTGACATGCATCATTTACTTGTCTATAGAAGTTTTTGACTATTTCTTGTTTTGCTTCTCCAGTTGGAGCATATATTTGAATAAGAGAAATTTTCAAATAACGAAATTTCATGTTGAGTAAGCATACTCTATCTGAAATACCAATAAAACTCTCTATATTTGTTTTGAACTTCTTTTTTACTAGGAAGCCTACTCCACGTTGCCCAGTGTTCTCCCCTGTATAGCAGAAGATATGTTCAAGGTCTTCTGTTATTATTGTTCCCGATCTTCTAATCTCTGCTAACCCGATGATATCGTATTTAAGGTGATTGATCATTCTTTCGTCTGATAATAATGACCTTGCGTTATAGGTATATACATATATTTTTTGCTCTGGAGGGTTGTAGTCGTATTGTTCCGCGGTGACAAGCCGTATTGGATTTTGTAGAGAGGTCGTCGCAAATTGCTATTCACAGTTATTTTTATTGTGTGACATGGAAGCGTTATCTCTTGATGATTTCTTAATATATTGATTCATATTTACCTTGTTTCGCTTTGGTATTTGTTTAGTGAATTTATTTGTATCTTCTATTGGAGTTTTCATCTTCCGGAGATGTGTACAAATTTCTTTTGTTATTGGTTGATATGTGATGTTTGTCTGTTCTCGTTTCTTTTTCAAAATGACAATTTTGTCATATTTTAATATAGCTCTTTCTCCTTGTTCAATCTTTTGTTTAAGTTCTGGAATTAGAAGTTTTCTAGTTTTTAATATTTTTGGAGTAAAATCTTCTTTAATATAATATAAACTCTTTTTCAAGATTTCGACGATTTTTAAATAATTCGATTTTTTTACTCATAGTTGTGAGGGTTATAACTATGGGTCTTGACTTTTCTCCTTTTTTACCAATTCTTCTAATATATTCCAAATCTGATTTTTCGCATGAGACTTGCATGTTATCATTAAATATTTTTAAAATAATTGTTTCTAAGTCGTGATAATTGTATTCAGTTTCTTGTACTCCGAACAAGATAATGTTTCTTTTTCTTAGGTTTCTGTCTATCATTTCTATGCGGGTGTCTTGTTCTTGAATTTTTTTTCCATAGAGACATATTTCTTTTTCTTAGGTTTCTGTCTGTCATTTCTATGCGGGTGTCTTGTTCTTGATTTTTTTTCCATAGAGACATAACGTGAATTTTTCATTTATGTTATCGTTTATTGTTTTAGTGATGCTTTCTTTCATATCCTTTAGTAATTTTTTTTTAATTTCATTTCATCTTGAATTTTTTTTTTAGTATTGAAGTCAGCTCTTCCATTGTTTAAATGTAGAAATATGTAAAGCGCCCTCTATTGATGCAATTAATATATCTTAAAGTTTTGCTGATAGTTACTTTTGATAATCGTATTTTGGCACAAGATGTCGCTCTTTTCTGCACTATTTACTCACTAAAACTTAAGCATAATTTTCGTACCTTCCCGGTAGATGGCTGACTTTTTTAAATATAATATAAACGTGTACTTTGTGGTATTTTGAGGTTATTCTTTTTTCATAATATTTTAAATTCACTTAAGATATATTATGTAACGAAACTTTTCTATAACTTTTTATTCTTATTATAACTTTACTTCACTTTTTGAGTTTTAATTTATATTGATTGAGTAAACATACAAAACCGTTGCATATATTGTTTTCAAAATTTTCACAAATTATGCACTTTATTACTAGGTTCTTATATTCACTATATATTTGTTGTTATACTTTTACTTTTAAATCACTGATTGTTATATAAAATTCACTAATTGCACTTTTTAATTGCTTTTATATCGGAGCTAATGTTAACTGTGCGCTGCCGCGCCCTCTCTCTCCAAATACTAATAAAACACTCAAAATATTTTCAAAACAAATCTGAACTTTAAATAAATACCAGTGAAAGCAACTTCTAGTTGAACTTTGATCGAAAATTATATCAATTCATAACCTCAAAATGGAAGAAATAAATAAATCGTTAAACCCACAAAATGAAATACTATACGAAATTAGAAAAGCTCAAGAAAACTATGAGAAATCTCCAAAGTCCAAAATTAATTTAGGATACTTGCAGACGCGTTTAGAAACATTGGAGTTGAAATGGAATTCATTCAAAACTACTCATGAATACCTTGTGCAAGAAACACCTATAGAATCAAGAAGTGTCTTAAGCTATTTTAACGATGATTTGTATGAGACCTGTGAACTTGTGTGTACTTTTGTACTTTTGTAATTTATATTAATTACAAAAGTGGTTTAAAACAAAAATGTCCGAATTATGGCCCGTTACGCCTACTACTGCCTTATCCGAAAACAAAAAACAATTTTCTGGAAAATACACTGAGTGACCATCGTTCCATGATTTATTCAATTCCATCATACATAATAATGAATCAATAGATAACGTTCAGAAGCTCCACTATTTAAAATCGAGTTTGTCTGGTGAAGCCGAACGGCTGCTGCGTGCAATAACAGTTACAAGTCAAAATTATAAGGAAGCGTGGGAAATACTAAAAATAGATACAACAACAAAAGATATATTTCAAACAGCATTTTCAAAAAACTTTTTAGTATCAAAAATATAACAACAGAGTCCGCTTATCAGATTAAATACTTGCTTGATACATTTGTTGAATCTTTAAGCTCATTATTGAATCTAGGGTTGCCAATAGTCTTGGAATGCGATCATGGTTTATATAACAGTTTCTAAATTAGTTACCGAAAGCCATCGTTTGTGGGAACAGCATATTGCTTCAGAAAAAGATGAGTTTTCCTCCTTTGACACAAAAATAATTTTTAGAAACTAGATTTCGTTCTTTAGAAATGATTAAACACACCACTAAACCAACGAGAACCAAAGTCTTTCACACCTCAATAGAACCTACAAATATCTCTTGTGCAATCTGCAAAGAAAACCACTACATTTATCAGTGTAAACAATTTGCTAAACTACAATACAAAGAGAGACACAGCTTCGTTCAAGAGAATAATTTATGTTTTAATTATTTGATACCAAACCACTCATCTAATAAATGTATGAGGAAGACGTCGTGTCGTGTTTGCCATAAGAAACACCACTCGTTGTTACACCCAGAGAAATGGGATGAATCTGTAAGGGAAAATTGTCATAAAGACTCAAGTCAAAACATAGTACAGTAGAGCGTCGATTATCCGAACTAATTGGGGAATATAGGTGTTCGGAAAACTGAATTATTCGGACAAGCGAACTTTATAATTTTATGTACCAACATTTTTTTTTATTTTTAAAATTTTGTTTATTACAGTTGCAAATAGGAATACAAATAAAGAATAGAGAGCTTGGTTAAGCAAAAAATATTTTATAATCAATATTGAACATACAGTATGCCTATATAATTAACGTTTAAAGAAGTCCTTAATTTTGGTCTGTCGCAGCGAACCTACTATAATATAATATTATCTTATTATTACGATTTCTGTGGAACCTAGCCTCTTACGCGCAGCTAAGTCGCGCACTTTTTTTAGAACAGGTATCTGATACTGATCGCTTTCATTTTGAGCTTCAAACCATCGAAAATGCAAGCATATAAATGCTTCAAAAGTAGTAGATATGTTTTCGTCTTCATTTACTGAACCACTAATTGATGAGATACAGGCAGCGGTACAGCGATAGGGTATACCGATAGGGTACTGAGCGTAGTAACGTAGGCCAACACTGGGCGCTGCGGGGTACTACGGGCGTTGAAGGGGGAGGGGTGCATCTCAGCATGGTATGGTAGTAGTTCGGTTAAGCGGTCGTTCGGTTGATCGACGTTCGGATAATCGACGCTCTACTGTATCATATTTCGTGCATCAGCCTAGTCAAATACTATTAGCCATCGCATTGGTAGATGTGACTTCGCGTCAGGTTCAAAAACACGTCTATCGTGCTCTCATTGACCAAGGTTCACAAGCCTCGTTCGTCACCGAAGATATCGTTCAGACATTGGGTTTGAAAAAGATAAGAATCAACGGCGTGGTTTCAGGATTGAGTGAAGGCAAACAGCTTCACAACAAATAAACGTACTCTCATTGACCAAGGTTCACAAGCCTCGTTCGTCACCGAAGATATCGTTCAGACATTGGGTTTGAAAAAGATAAGAATCAACGGCGTGGTTTCAGGATTGAGTGAATGCAAACAGCTTCACAACAAATAAATGGTTGAAGTACAATTGCAGTCGAGACATAATACAACCTTCACTATTCCGGTAAAAGCTTATATTTTGAAATCGATCACAACATATTTACCACAACAATCAATTACAATTTCTAACTGGCCTAAGCTGGAGCACATGACGCTGGCAGATCCGAGGTATAATACACCAGACCAGATTCATCTGCTGTTGGGCGCTGAAGTCTATAGTAAAATCGTAGAAGTTGGATTGATCAAGAGTCCGTCCGGTATTATTGCACAGAAAACACAACTGGGCTGGATTCTTTCTGGTGATGCTAGCAACACACAAATTGTAAAACAAAACAAGGTTATTAGTATGCATGTATGTCTATGTGAGAATGATCTTTTAAGAAAATTCTGGGAAGAAGAAAATGAAGTACTTACCTGTGAGAGAAAATTCAGTAAAGATGAGCAACGATGCGAAGACATCTACAACAAAACTGCAGTGCGAACAGAATCAGGAAGATTTAAATTAACTTACCTTTTAAAGAAAACATAGAGACACCTGTAGACAAAAGTGGGAATACCAAAGAAATTGCTATTTCAAAATTTTTACAATTAGAAAGAAAATTGGAACCCAAAAATGAAAGAAGAGTCCACTAAAGTAATAAAAGAATACGAAGAATTAGGACACATGGCTTTGACTAATGAAGAAATCGATATAAAGATACCATAAAATTAAGAGTGGTATTTGACGCCTCCGCAAAGGGTACCAAGGGTCATTCACTAAACTATACACTGCTAACTGGACCTATAATACAAGATGATTTACGTACTTTGATAACTAAATGGCGACAGCATAAAATAGCATTAATAAGTGATATAACAAAAATGTATAGACAAATTTTAGTGCAGGAGAAAAATACCTATTACCAATGTATTGTATGTAGAGACAACCCTAATGAAAACTGTAGATTTTATAGATTGCTTACTGTCACCTTCGGAACTGCATGCGTTCCGTACCTAGCTGTTAGAACTTTAATGAAGCCAGCTGACGACGACAGTGACAAATATCCTGAAGCTGCAGAAATTGTTAAAACGTCATTTTATATGGATGATCTGATGACAGGTGCTAACACGGAAAAACAGGCTATAGAAATCTATGAACAAGTCAACAAGCTATTAGAAAGCGCTGGTTTCATACTGCAAAAGTGGTCTAGTAATTCAAAAAATTCGAAACAAAATTAGACAAAATCATAAAAATATTAGGAGTTACACGGGATAGAAATGATGGCCAATTCGAAATATCTGTCAACTTGCCTGAACCTGTCAAAGAAGAGTGCTATCGGACGTAGCTCGCTTATTTGATCCCTTCGGATGGCTCTCTCCAGTTATTATAAAAGCAAAGATGATCATACAGAAACTATGGCTATGTAGTTCTGATTGGGATGAAGAAATACCATCAGACCTTCTGGAAGAATGGCTGATTTTTAGAGAAACTACTTACATTACAAAATTTGAAAATAAATAAATAGATACGTACTCACCCTGAAAATGACCAGATTGAACTGGTTGGCTTCGCAGATGCATCAACAGCAGCATACGCTGCAGTACTCTACGTAGGAGTGATACTAGGAGATAAAGTCTATGTCACTATTCTGGAAAGTAAAACAAAAGTTGCTCCATTAAAACAAATCTCCATAGCACGGCTAGAACTATGTGCCGCCGTTTTATTGGCAAAATTACTGGCTGAAACATCAAAGAAATTGAAAATACCTAGCAATCAAATATACGCCTACACCGATTCAACAATTGTTTTAGCTTGGATTAAATCACAACCTATAAGATAGCAAACATTTGTTGAATAAAACTATTATTTACGGACAACGGAAACATTTGTTGCTAACCGGATAACAGAAATACAAACCATACTGGATAATGATCGATGGAATCATGTAGCTTCAGCAGAGAACCCAGCAAATATTGCAATAGAACCCTCAGGACTACAAGCCGCTGAACTGTGGTGGAGTGGACCGCATTGGATGAGAAACCCGAACATACATACTAACACAACACAGGTACATTAAACAACATTAGAAGAAAGAAAACAACACACAAAAGTATTTCACAATAATACAGAAGAATTAATACTAAATAAATTCTCAAATTTCAAGAAAATGATACGAGTACTTACCTATTGCCAACGATTCCTAAACTTAAAGAAAAATAAAGAAAATAGAAATAAAATGCCTACTTCATCACACAGCTCAGCATCAAAAACGCTATCGCAGAGCCATGTTTCAGTTATCATAATTATATCGGAGTCTTGTAATAATACGTTTTTAAAAAATTCATCTGTTTTGGTTCGTAATCCTCTCACGTTTTGATAGAATAGGTTAATTTTCTTCATATTATTGTTATTGATCTTGATTGAATTGGGTGTGTTGAAACATATAGGGAAGACGTATGTAATTGCAGTTGGTTACATTGTGATGTCATAATCAATTGAACCGCACAATGATAAATGAATGGTTTAAATAGTAAGTAGGTGTTACTCAGAGTTTGAGTGTTGGATATGACAATGTGCATTGGATGTACGTGTACGTGCAGTAATAAGAGGCTAGGATAGTATACAATTATTGTTTCTAAAGTACGTGATATCTATATGCAGTGTATAATCTGAGTGCGAGTGTAAGTAGATTTTATAAAGTATGTGTATTTATGTATGTTATGTGTTAAAGTGACCACTGGAATATAATAAGAAGTGCAAGGCAAGCAGAGAGCAAGGCACTTAATTACAATATCTTTCCAGGATCGCTCGTCGAGTCTATCGCAAATGGAGTCGAGGTATCGTTTCTTCTGACATAAATTCGGCAGTTTTTTGTCCACACATACTTGTACTCTGTCTCTCTAGCCTTTTGCCTACAAGAACCCAACAATATTTTATTTTCTTTAATGAGATGTTCATTGATGTAGATTCTGTTCTCTTCACCTCCCATCCCGATATCTCTGGTGGTCATGTTGCGATGTTTACGTGCTGCTGCGATCACTCGATCCTCAATAGAACGCGCTGTCTGAATCTGACGATTATTGGACGTGCT